AAACTTTATTGAATGCACTGTAAGCACTGTGGCTTCATCGATATCTAGTTATTGAAAGTGTTTTTCTATACTGGCTTTTAAGTTGTTTCTTTATATAAATCCCTTTGAAGGCATTGGTGTTTATATTATATATATATACAGCTATAAATTTGAATAATAGTTATTATTTAAATACTTTAATAATTAAATTCATTATAATATATTACATAATTTAATAAAATAATAAGAAAGGCAAATCTATGCAAAAATATTTTTTTATAACCATACTTGCTGTGTATGGAATATAAAGCTTAAAAACATAGTCGCTTAAATTTTTGTCTGTTTGTCTGCATATCTGTTTCCATTGCAAAAAGTACTGAACGGATATTAGCTATTTTTTATTCTGATAACTCTGGCAAAAGCTATTATTCGCATTGAAAAACCCAATAACTGGTTTGGCCGATTTGTCCTCCATACAAAAATTAAATGACTTGTTACAAAAAATGATTAGTAACAGGATTAAAAATTAATATATTTAAAAATGTAGTGAACGAGAAAATCTTTACTAGCCGTTAAAACGTACCTAAGGACGAACCCGAGCGGAGCGAGGGTGAATCGCTAGTATAATAATGTGTATAAAAATTATCCTTTATTTACCGATTTTTATTAAAACTTATTAAATATGTTAAAAAAATATTATAATAAATATCGACTCATCTTCGCTCTATTTCAATAAGATCTTCCAAAAAATATTTTATATACAGATTCGACTCCATTAGAGTTTTATTACATTTTTCATCGTTTAGTGAACAAAAATTCATATTTAGCGAGCGATTTAAAAATTCTAATCGAAAAATCTAGGTACATTTCATATAAGAGTAATCGTTTTGCTAAGCGGGTTTAAAGATCCGTGAAGCGCACTTATAACGATGCGAGGATTAAAATTTCCTTTGACTTTTTATATGTACATGCAGCGAATGCATCGAAAATAGCTATTTAATATTCAACTTAGTTGAGTTAGCCAAGTTTATTTCTAATTTTTTTTTCCAATCTTCATTTTCTTGTATTTATATTATGATATTAAATAATGTAAGAAATAGATTGTTTTATTTGTTTTTTTATACTTAGACACTTTGTTTATGTAAATAAATTGTAATATAATATGTTGTTTTTTTTGCAGTGAAAATTTGTATAGGCAGATTTGTATGGGGAGTAAATTCGTGTAAGTTGTCATCGACATGGTCACGTGACGTGTTAACGCTAACACTCAGAGTGCCGATAGATATCAAAACCAGATAAATGTAAACAGTTTTAATTTACAAATGTTAATTTAAGATCAAACAATTAATTTGAATATCCAAAAATAACAACTGTTTGCTTATAGTTTTAAGTTATCACTTCTGTCGGTTGTCCTCGTGACTGCTTTTTTTGTATTTTAATATTTGAAAAATCTTTTTCCGAAAATCAGCGGCTATTCATCTCTTTTAAAGAAATATTGAACAAAATCTAGTACTAAGAATTTTAAAAATCATAAAATTTTATTCATTTTACCTCCAATTCATTAGTTGTTCCACTCTGCTAAAAATTCTCAAAACGAAAATATGATTTCTCAAACCTTTATTTTCCAATTCCTGTAATCATTTTTTGTACAAATATTCTATGTTTATTTCAGCATTATTTAACGTGGTCAAAAAATGATCTTTTCATATATTTTTTATTTTGTGCTGCTATAAAGTAGCAACCGGGGAACTAAATATGTATTATTTTGCATGTATACACTGGCCTGTATATAAAATGGAGCGTGCGTTTCAGTTTATCTTTATATATAAATATTAAATGGTTAGAAGGTGTAGTAAATTTCAAAAAGGCGCTAAAATTATATTATCTCAATAATTAGTGTAAATATAATTTTACATTAATAATATATTGACGACACGTTTGTCTCGGTTTGTAGTGACCCTACTAGCTGTGCCAGTGGTCGCGGATTCCAGTCCCGCTGGATGCATTCATTTGTGTGATGAGCACGAATGTGAACACAAGCCTCGTAGCTTACAACGGAATTAGACGGTGCTGTGTTAATCTTCCAACATATTTATTTATATTATACCACACAAAAGTCCATCTAACGAACTAACTCGATTTTGAATCTCATCGTATATTTGTATAAATATTATTCTAAGTGGAAGCTGATAGTGCTTAGCAAATAAGCACTAGATACATATAATAATTATTTATAGTTCATTATATCGAGAATTACTTTAAATATTAGTATTTAACATTCATTCAATCAAGATATAATTTTATTCGAATGATTCAAATGATGTTAAACATGCTTGTTTATTAACACTAGACCAGTAGTCATTTCCAAAAAATTAATTTAAATTATATGTTAATATTTCTATTAAGCTATTAACCAAATTATATCAAGAAATTTGAAACGTACACAGAAGTGTATCACTTTCATATACTTACATGTTATCTATACATATATAATAAAATTCTAAATCAAATTTCTTATTTATAATTTTGTTTTACTGTACATTAAATATTTTTTGAAAAATCTTATTGAAATAGTCATTATTATCGTTATAAATGCGGGATCTATGGTTTTTAAAATATTTGTCTGTCTGTCTGAGAACGCATCACGAAAAATTCATTGGACAGATTTGGATAAAATTTGATATGATGATAGCTGGTTATCCGACTCAACATATAGGATACTTTTTACTGCTAGAAAATATCTCATATCTGAGAAATCTACAGTAAATGTTAAAGCGTAGTTAAGGATGAACCCGAGAGGAGCGAGGTTGAGTTGCTAGTTCATACTAACACAAACAAACGCTTGTTAATATTAGTATAATATTTGCTGATCCAACTGAAGTTATTCTGTTCCAAATAAATGTGTTTGTGATTTTTGAGTTCATAGAAATTTCCTATTTCTATAAGCACTTCAAAGCAATTTCAGTTTTTTTCTATTTTCTAGAAAACTTTTCCATTTTCCCCTGAAATCCTAATAGAGATGAATAAGAGAAGTAAAAAATAATCATTTAAAAATATACCAACCGATAGAATTTCATTTTAATTTATATAGAATATTAGGTACCTACAATAAACATAATATATAGATTTACACCTTTGTTTATTTCAGATAGTCATCTAAAAGAGTATATTATGTCTAAATTAATAATATATTTGGAATTTGTAGCTTGCGTTTTAAAATGTTCACAAAATAAATTTGTACAACCGTCTCGCAGTAACCTTGACTTGTCAGTAGTTTCCAAAAGCTACTGTGCCGCATATTTTCTTAATTGGCATAGTTTTTAATGAATTATTACCCAAATGTATGAAATGCTAAATAAGCTGTTATTATTAATGTTTAACAATCACGAAGGCATTTAAAATCCAACTCATTAGCTTAAGATTATGAAAAAATTACATTATGTTTTTTCTTCTTTTATTTACAATTACTTTTTATTTAATTGTGTTAAACTTTGTAATTTCAAAACAAACTACTTCTGAGGCAATTTTACTTTTCTGTACTATAATATTAGTATTATGAAGAAGGAAGATTTTTTGTTTGTTTGTTTGTAACGAATAAGCTCCGAAACTACTGAACCGATTTTGGATCAGTAGTTTCGGATCTTAACAAATTTCATCTATTTAGATGAAATTTGTTAAGATAGATAGTAAGATAGTAGTTAAATATGAAGGTAATTACTTCTACCTTCGTTAAAGCTAATAATTATTCAATAAAAAATAATAAATTGCTAGAAAATAAATACATGAAAGAATCCTTGGATCGGCTTAAAAATATTTACTACACCTAATATTCCTTTGTTATAATATTATCATTAATTTAATCTTCTTAACTTTGCTTACTTTTATTTTCATTTTTATTTTCTTTTCATTGTTTACTTATTGAAAAAACAAAATTATAAATAAGAAATCAAATAAAAATACCTTTTCAAAATTGTTATCAGTTTATTTACAATTTTAAATGTTTTTAAAACAACGGACATTTATAAAGTTCTATTGTTTAATTTGTACGCAAATGTTTGTAAATATTGCAAATAGAAGTGCAAGCGCGTTTATTTCTTCAGTATCTAACTAACGTTTGCAGTTGATCATTTCAATTTCAAATATATAAATTTTTCATTTAATATATTCAATAAAATATAACTTAATTATAAGATTATAAAAAATAATAAGTACGTGTCATAAGTATGTAAATTTTAAAAGTTTTTATTTATTGATTTATTTTATATGTAGCACGTAGATATATGCTTATGTATATATTATATATATATATATATATATATATATATATATATATATACATATATATATATATATATATATATATATTAAATTAATAGTTTAGAATTTATTAATGATCCGTGGTATACTTGTTACAGCATTAACGTATAGAGACTTGTAAATTTAACGCTCGCCGTCTTATTGATCGTCGTGAACCTTGGACAGATGATCTGAGTGAAACACAATATATGCTCTATTGAAAAAATATTTAACATAAAAATAATATTATTTTTAGGCTACCATAAAAAAAACAAATTTACAACAATTAAATGAAACACGAAATTTATAATTAAAATAAATCAATGTTTATAAAAAATCGATATTAAAGTAAATGTTTATAAAAAATACACACAATTTATAAAAACTTAGATTTATAATTATTTTTAACGTCATTTATTTTTTTTAACTTAACAGAAACAGAATAAAATAAATTGATAGATAGTAAATATTTTTAGCAGTTAAATTATTATAAAAAAAACTAAACACGTCAAAGTTCGTACACTATATTATTATATGTTTCATAAATTTCCTCATATATTTTATTAATTTATAAAGAAATAATTAAACAGTAAACACCAAATAAACACGCTTAAATTATTCCAAAAACAAAGTCGCAAACGGCAAAATAAAAAAACAATAAAAAAAATATTATATAAATAAAGGTATAAAACCACTGCATTCGCTACGATAAAGCTATTACTCACGCGGCGTGCTCAGCGTGCGGGAGGCAGGCGATCGCGAGAGCCAAGATGAGCGCGATATTACGCAAGTGACGCGTTCGTTTCGAAAGCATGTTTTCGCCCGCGTTGAGCGGACTTGCCGCTCGCCGTGTCTGCCGGTTGGCGGACTAACACGGTTTCTGACTTGAACCACGGTTCTACCCCGCGCCTGCGCTCTGCAATATCGATCGTCACCCTGCCACACCTTCCCCCTTCGCTCAGATCAACCAGTCATATCAAACGAACAACTTCTCCCAAATTTACAAAGAAAATTCATGCATAAGAATACTAATTTGCATTTAAGAATAAGTTCTTTTTTTGAATTTATTCGCCGTTGCGTCCAAGTTTTTTCGATTGTAACGATGATTTTGCGTCACTTAGTGCTCACGCAGCTTTATCTATAAATTTTTAACGATATTTGTTGTATTTTTGTATATGAAAGAATTTTTCTTTAAATTAAAAAACAGATGCAAAATAGAGAAGTAGAAATAACACATGGAGTGAAACAGTAAAACATTTATAGGAGCACTTAACCACGTTTAAGCTAATTGATTCGAAAGTGTTCTGCTTTTATTTGCCAAGTATTGCTGGGAGTAAATATGCTTTTTACGTGTTCAGTTCTATGGAAATAAGATAGCATTGTTCAAAAATTGCACTCTGTTCAATAACGAATTGAGCAACTTCCAAGAAGTTTGGAGATATTGATGGAAATCCTTTGAACATTCCTTCTCACAAAGAGAGGATTGAGTCTAAAGTTGTCTATTTTTAGTCACGTAAGCTGCAACGAATTTAACTTGGAATCTATCAAAGAATCATAAAAAGCAGTGTTTTTATGACCGCCCAGAAATATCTTGTGAAACCGGAGTATTAAGGGATATAGTATTAGGGAATACGAAATAAGTTTCGTACCGACCTAGCAAGTATTGAAAATATTTTATCTATAAAATCGAGATCAAATTAATATTATCCTACTACTAACTGTCAAATTCAACATACCTCATGTATGAGACGTCCATTTATATATCTGTCCTGTCACAGTTTCGTCGGTAGAATTTCCTTATGAAATATACCATTAAATATTTTCCATATATGTACGAGTCATATAAATTACATATATTAGTATTCAAATCAATGACATTTTCTATCCTATTGGTACTGTGCCGCATTGCGTCAGTTCAGGTATTTAGTGTTACCCTGCAACAGCCAGCTTTCTGAAACTAATGTACCGAAAATATATCATATATGTACGAGCATGTGTAAGTTTATATAATATAAAAAATCTCAATAAATAATATAGGTAACGTCTAAATCTACGCTCCTTCAAAATGAAACTTAAAAAGGGCAAATAGGTGTAAAATATATAGTTTGCAAATACTAATTATAATCTGAGCTTGCTGCTTAAGCGTAAATCCATACTAATATTATATATTTAAAAGTGTGTCTGTTTGTTTGTCTTTCTTTGACGTCGAAACGGAGAGACGGATTGGGGTGATTTTTTGTGTGGAGATAGTTGGAGGGCTGGAGAGTGACATAGGCTACTTTTTATCGCGTGAAATATCTCACTCCCACAGGAAAACACATACAACCAAAAAAATAAATATTATCAGGATTACTTGAAATTTGGTATTAATGTTCTTCAACATAATTAAAGAAATACGTGTTTAAGCATTTTTCGAAATTCATCCCATAATGGGGTAAAATAGGGGATGAAAGTTTGTATGAAACCTTTTTAGAGTTTTTTTTTTGTAGTTTTTGCGTCAATGAAGCCGCGGGTTCTGCTAGTCTTTAATAAATATTATAGGATATTACAAAATTATTACATTTTCTGTACTATTATTTTTTGGTCTACAATCAGTTTATATTATACAAGCTGCTCACTCTTGCATCGCTCGGGTTCATCCCTAATGAATAACAAAAACAAATCTATACCACGGGAACCGTAATTTTTTCCCAGATAAAAGTAAGCCTATGTGCTATTTCAGAATATAATCTATCAGTATGCCAAATTTTATCCAGATCCGTTCATCCTTTCTAGAGTGATTGAGTAACATACTTCCATCCATCCAAACTTTTATATATATATATATATATATATATATATATATATCTATATATATAAAAGAAAGTCGTGTTAGTTACTTCGCTTATAACTCAAGAACGGCTGAACCGATTTAGCTGAAAATTGGCAGGGAGGTAGTTTAGAGCCAGGAGAAGGACATAGGATACTTTTTATCCCGTTCGACCGCGTTCCAATTTTTATGATATTTTAATTTTTGGATTTCTCTTAGTCCGGAATAGGTAAGTATTAAAACATATAATTAAAATGTGAGAAAGAAAGATTTTTTCTTTTTATATCTATTTAAAACGTACCTAGCGACGAACCCGAGCGAAGCGAGGGTGAGCCGCTAGTATATATATATATATTTATATATATATATATATATATATATATATATATATATATATATATATATATATATATATATATATATATATATGTATAAAGGCATATTAATCGATTAAATAAGTAACTAATACATTGCTATCAAATAACGTTAGGAACCAAATTCACTAAACTTGCCACGTGTCAGGGGATTAAGACGCGGCTCCGAGCTTTAGAACTAATACGAAGGGAGAGTGTACGTAAATGCCAATTTAATAAACTATCTATCTATCTATGTTATGTTAATAATTGCTTCTATTGACCGATTTTAGAAAAAGAGGAGTTCCCGTTTCGTTTGTCTTTTTTATCTTAAATCATTTTTTAATAAATAATTTTGAAAGTCACATAAATTTATTGTTATTGATATCGGTGTAACTTTCAACCTAAATATAATTTTATTTCTATGTTCCATACAACCGATTTAAGCTAATATAAAATTTTGTTAATATTGAATCTTAATATTCGAGTCGAATATAATATTACTTGCGATTTGGTCTTTACAGTCTAATAGCCTTTTGTTGGCCTCTTCAGGTCTAATCTGTGTAAATTTCTTCCAATTCCATCTATTCGTTTTAGCGTAAAAAAGTAACAAGCATACACACAAAATGTTTATATGTGACAAGATCCAATTATAAGTGGAATGGGAGAATATTTACGTTATACTTTGTTAGATTTAGGCGAATATTTGTCATTTTAAATTAAAAAAAAATACCTTTCGGATTATTTTGGAGATTTATTTTAATTTTTGGTTCCCGACGTTTCTAATGCTTTACAGCACTCATGGTCACGAGAAAGAGATTTAAAAAATTCAAAAGTGGCACCAAAGTACCTTACAATAAATATTTTTTGATTTTAATTCTAAACATTTTTTTAATAAGTATGATAATTAAATATGGCAATAGTATTTACTTTATTTTAGCTGTTATTATTATAAATATTATTTTTTTTTAAATATTTACGTTCTTATACAGAAAATAAAAATAAAAATGTACACAAACTCAACAATATTAGTCCAAAGGTAAGCAAGCGCTGCCAGTCAAGTCTTGCATATAATAAAGGTCTTTGTGATATTTGATCTGTAAACGGAAATACGAGTATATTGCCATTCTTAAAATGTTCCATACATCTGATAGAGAATCTGAAATATAAAATATTGCTACAATATGAAAAATATCATATTTTTCATTATTTATTTATCATACATGTTAGCGTATTCTACATCTATACATATAAAAAAATCTGAGTCGAATCTGTACATTCAATACTTTTTGGAAAATTTATTGAAACAGAATCAATACTATAGATACAGAGACCGAATCTAGAGTTTTGAAATTTTTGTCTGTCTGTATGCCTGAGGACGCATCACGAGAAAACCACTGGACAGATTTTGATGAAATTTGGTATGATGATAGCTGATTATCTGGGTCAACATATAGGATACTTTTTACTGCGGTAAAATATCTCATCTCTGAGAAATCTATGCTAAGCTTAAAACGTAACTAGGGACGAACTAGAGCGAAGCGAGGGTGAGTCGCTAGTTAGTAAATAAATTTATTGTTATTTCATTTTGCATGTATTAAATGTCCATAGGTATATCACAGCATATTATAAATATTTAAAAGTTGAGGTTGTCCTTCCGGAATGTATTCAGGTAGTCTGTATTCCGGAAAATCTCAGAAACTACTGTGTGTATTTTTATACGGTTTTCACCAGTGTAAAGAGGGATTATCAAGGTAGGTTATATGCTATAAATAATAAATCTACCCGATAATAAAAAACCATCTCTTCTAGGAGAACGCCCGGGTAGAGCGATATATATATATATATATATATATATATATATATATATATATATATATATATGTATATATATATAATTCTTAAACAACTAAACAACTAAACCAATTTGAGTGATGTTGAGGTTCGATATGCTTATTTTCTGGATTAAATTTTAGGCTAGATTTTATCTGCGAGTATCACAGCTACAATATTAGTATATGCACAATACAGGTTGACTTTAAAAAGAAACATCAAACCTTGTCTTTTAAAAATATGTGTCCTTTTATTGCTTTTTCCAATACGTTTCTAGTTGCACCAGCTTCACTAAACCTCTACAGAATAGTTCGATTTTTTTATTTTACGACAGTCGTTAATCTTTAGCACGCACAACGGACCAGAAGAGAGTCAAAGTGCGGAAAACGAGTCCACTTTACATTACATTACAGTCGTTAATCGAAGCAGTACTAGGCTATTCTTATCTTTTATATAGTGGTTAACTTAGATCTAGTTTATTATGGTTCAGATCTTAACTGCCTCGCTGGTGTAGTGGCTAGCATGTACGGCTGCACACCCGGAGGTCCTGGGTACGAGTCCCGGGTCGGGCCAAGTTTAGTTATTGAGTCTTTCTGTATAGTAAGCCTCAGTAACAGCCCGGAGTTGGGAAGTTGGTGGTGTTTCACCCCCGTGCCTCGGCGAGCACGTGAAGCCGTCGGCCCTGCGCCTTAACTCTCACTGGTCGTGTCGAGTGGTTGTCAGAGTGACAGGAATAGAGAGTGCACGTTGTGTCTGCGCGTACACTTGAGCACTATAATATCTCCTGCGCAGTTGGCTACTCTCGATGAGATTGGCCGC